AGACTACCCTGTTATCGACTACGAGTCAGACCTTCAGACCGCCATGTCGACAACAGTTAGATAGGCTACCCCACGTATTGTACTTGTGTGATCTAGATGAATAAAGAACAACAACGGCTTCGGCCAACAGGATGTAGGGTTATTACCTGACAATTCAGGGGCCCGAACCTGTAAAAAATCCCCGTCTCCATCTCTTTTACCTCAGTCTCGCGTATACCCTACTACCAATGATCCCCATACCATGCAAATACCGGAATTGCGACATCAAACGTCGACAGCGAGTATATTATTATATGTGCAGAGTATATTATATAGTTATTTGGTCGTATATAGTTATTTGGTCGTATATTTGGTCTATATAGTTATTTGGTCGTATATTATTATATGTGCAGAGTATTAATTAGGAATATTTTTTTTGACAGCTATTAATTAGGAATATTACCCATACTAGCTACTTGCAGCTTGGGACACATGCTCTTCCCTGGAGCAGGCAGCTAGAGCAAATCATTTCGGCCTAGCCCAAGAAATAATGGCCCGCTTGGCCCGCATGTGTTCCGGCCCAACTTGCATCGGCTTCAGTTGCTCCTTCATTTTTCTTGCTGATCTCAGTTATTGGGAGCACTAAAACACTGATTATAGTAGTATTTTTTTTGAATGATTGGCACATATGAAGGTTGAGGATGATCTAATTGATTATAGAGGTGAATTAAATATTATATATATTATAAACAAAATAATAACTTAAGAACAAGTTGTCTAAGCAACGAACACGAAGGAAATTTTATGAGAGAACATATATATACTTTTAAAAGCGTGGATCAAATAAAGTTTTTTTTTTAAGAAAACAAACTTTGAAAACTGTGGAGCAAGTAATCTGACCAGCGACAATAATCCGGTGGATAATCTGAAAAGAATGAGGTCAATTAGGGCTTGTTAAGTTCGCAAAAAGAAAATTTTTGGGTGTCACATCAGACGTTTGACCAGATGTTGAAAGGGGTTTTTGATACGAATGAAAAAACTAATTTCATAACTCGCCTGAAAACCGCGAGACAAATTTATTAAGCCTAATTAATCTGTCATTAGCGCATATAGGTTACTGTAGCACTTATGACTAATCATGGACTAATTAGACTCAAAAAAAATTCGTCTCGCGATTTCCATGCAAACTGCGCAATTAGTTTTTCATTTTATCTATATTTAATATTTTATGTCTGTGTCCAAAGATTCGATGTGACGTTTTTGGGAAAAAAATGGAAACTAAACAAGCCCTTAGTCTGCTAACATCTCATTCTTCCTGCAGTAAAACCCTTTCTACTGCGGTTCCAAAAAAATGAGTCTACCCTACGTACGTGGCTTGCCCTATTTTTCTAACTGACATGCATGGAACATTCTTTTGGAGAATTTATGGATGTATTTTGAAACATCAGAATTCTTTTGTTTGAGGTAATTATTAATTAAACATTCCATACCAACATTTCCAGACATCCAAATTAAAGGTCTAGACAGTGATGTTCACCAGTTTATTTCTTTTTTTCCTCCTTTCAAAAGTCTGGCAAATATGTTCCTACATCTTCCATCAAATTCCACGTAGTTTTTACTTACCATCCAAGCTTCATTTTTCTTGAACCATGCATGGTCCATGGACAAACACACGACGATGACACTTTTAGTCGTTTACTGTTCTTCAGCTGGAAATGCAGCAATCCTCAAATCAGCTCCAAACTTGGGAGATCTAGCCTGCCGGAAAAGCACTGGGTTGTTCACACAAGTGAAGCAGACTGAAAGGCACATCTCGTCGTGAAGACTCCGGCACCAAGAACTAGGTGGATCTAGGGTGGTCCCGGGACCACCCAAAATATTCTAGCCAATGCATATATACACATATGTGAAAAGAAACTTTTGAAAAAAAAAAGAAAAAGAACTTGTTTCTAATATATATTATGATGCACATTTGATCTATTTATATATTTAAAGTATTTAAAAAATTATATAAGTTGGATCACCCATATAAAAATCCTAGATATGCCCACTGACCAAGACCTTGCTGGCTGCAGGTCTTGCCGTCGCTACCTTTATCTGAAGCCAAAAAAAAATACGTACTTAATGTAGAGGCTGAATTGAATTTTAGTATATGTATGTATCTCTACTACTTTATAAGCGAAGTCATCCTCCTTTTAGTTATCTCCTCATCTCAACACGCCAGCACGTTCTTTTGTCACTTTTCAATTATGGGTTTAGCCCATGCATTAATGTATGGGCTCTCAGTCTATTTCAGTTATATAGATCTGACCCGTTATAACTTATGGGCATGTAACTAGTATGAAAAAAGGAGCATTAAAAATGTGGTCAAATTTCAGTCAAAAAGAAATGTGGTCAAATTGGTATGTATGGTTATTCAGATATGAATCTTTACATGATCGATCATTCAAGTACATTGAACCTGCCTAGCAACGTGCCGGCCTCTCTACCTGTTATTACAATTAATCATAGTGTTTCAGACCTGATCGTCTTAATTTATCTTTTTTGTGGACAATGGTATGCCAAACATCGTACTGAATGAAAAAAAAACAGTCTTCAAGGTACTATAATACTGTGGAAATGGTTTTTATTGTGGCTTAAAATCAGTTTATAAACTGTATATGATTGAGAAAGATGCTGATAGGGGAAAAAATATGGTAAGCTTCCTTGCAAGAATGCTTGGCTCTGGATTGATTCAGAGATCGATGATCCATTTGTGATGGCCTGATCCTTTTTCACAGGACTGACAAAACATGCATGCATGGATGGATGCCAAAACCTTTGCAGTTTGCAGTCAAAGATGTGCCACAGTACTTAAAATGAAATATTTGACAAAGATGATAATATTACTGAATCTAGTTTTATACATGCTGACCATTCACTGGCTACAGTTGATAAAATGCCGTTTTTTGCTTCTTGATCGACCTCAGTCATATATTGACAGTAGCACCAACTGATCAGAGAATAATCACATGGTTCTTGCAGTAAGTAAACCTACTGATTAGAGGGTAGGTCATATGTATCTTTCCAACTGACAGGGTATAAACGGAAGAACAGTACTGTTCAGAGAATTTTTAGATTTTTTAGATAATTAACCACTGCAGTCAATAGCAACCTCTCCAGCTGTCAAGAGAGGTCCTAATTAACTACACTGATTTTCATCAGACCGTATATCAAAAGTCCTGCCAACCAATTTGTCGAGACTATGCATGCATGTAATTCGCATTTTTTTTCTGACATGAGTACATTCTTAGAAACATATATATTTACGACATGAGGACTCATGATTCACATTTTGGACTTTTGTGTCTTTTTGACTGATACTGGCAAAATGCCAGTACATTGCTACGTACGGAATTTAAAATATCACATCGGTACATTCCAAAAAGAAAAAAATATATGTTAAATTTTAGTCTTTAGAGCCTAATTTTATATTTAGTTAGAGTTTTTTTTATCTTCTTATATTTTAGCTATAAAAAAGTTTAAGTGGATTCAACTGACTTACGTTATTGCATACGTTCCATCCCTTAAAAAAGTTGCATCGTCAATCCATAAAAAATATAGAAGATGGCAGTGTGTTTATTCTTTCTTTCTTTTAACTTCAGTAAAACATGTCTAATAATCCGCAACTAGCTTATATAGGCAAGTCTTAGATGTTTGGTGGTAGGGTTATAATCGCTTCTTACTTTTAATACAAGATAATCCAACAAATGTAATTGATATGTGTGAGTTCGATATCGTACAAACGATTTTGTCCCAAAAATATTATTGCCGTTAGGGTTTTGTCCATTCCGTGTCGTTAAATATACTATTCATCCTATAGCATTTAATGGCACGAGATGGACGGAAGTCTAACGGCGATGGTATTTTTAGGACAAAATAGTTCGTACGATGGTATTTATTGGAACTCACACTTGTCGATGGTATCTCTTGGATTTGGACGCTTGTCAATGGTATTTCTTGGATTATCTCTTAATAGAATCAACCTTGTTTTAGAAAAAAATAGCATATGTTTATTGATTGAGCACACAAATCTACTACGAGAATATGTGTCAAACATACTAATCCTACTAAAAGTTTGAACTTAGAGTTGGAATATGTGTAGCATAGAGTTAAATCGGACTCTATCATAGATTCACTCTTAAATAGAGAGAGTGACACCACAATGTAATCATGACAACTACAATTTAGTGTAAACGCGTAGGGAGAGGATAGCGCGGCGAGCCCATGGACTCGTAGCGGTTATGTGCTATGTTGATTGGGGAGGAGCACCTATAATCAGAGGCCTAAAGATGTAGGTTTTCACTAAACTTCGTTAACAACTATTGTGTGTTGATGTATCGTCCTTTAGTGTATCTTAATGGATGATCACTGTACCGACTAACGTTTATAAACCGAACTAACGAACACCCTTTTCCCCACCAAAAGAAACAACAAAAAAGGCGTAACAGACACGTCCCGCGAATCGTAGAGGGACATGTGGCTAGACGTACGAGGTGCTGGCTACTGCTCCACTCGCTTAGAGCAAGTTTAATAGATCCTAGTTAGCAGGCGGTAACATGTTCCACATCATCAAAATCCCAGGTGGAGGAGTGAGAAGAGACGAAAAAGGGCGGAGCGGGCGGTCCATTTATCGCCCGGCTGAAGCGTGCCGTACGAGAAAAAAAAGCCTTCTTGCAGCCCGATGCGAGCGTATCTGCCGGCGCTTCGTTCCTCCTCCTGATCCCGTGCGTTTCTCTGCCCCTTCGCCGTTCCTCCTCCCCGATGCCAGATTCCTTCATCCGCGTGCCAAATTGGCCTCGCCTCCCGCCAAATCGATGTATAAATCCTCAATCCACTCCAAAGCAACCGAGTTTGCCCCCAAATTGTCTCCTCCTAAACCCTAGATGCTAAATTCGTCACCAACCTGCAGCAAGATGGGGCGGCAGTCTCAAAGGGCATGTGTGCCGACGCCTATGGAGGTCCCGTCGCCGGGGAATCAGCCGATCGCGCCGCCGCTGCCACCTCAGTTCATCGTCCCGCCTTCGTTTGCTTCCACCTACAGACCCGGTGCATTGTTCCCTGCAGTAATAACGCAGTCCATGGCGCCCTCGTCCGCACCATGTTGGTTCACCACGTTGCAGCAACCAGGCATGACTGGTTCGTCGACTCAAGGACCTTGGTTGTTCTCTACTGGAATTAGTCCATCTACGGAGAATGCTGAGCGCCCTGATATCCATGCGTTGTATGATACTGTCCCTCTCTTCTCAATTTTTTTGGTTGTTTAATTTTTTTTATTCTGTATGGATGATTTTTCTGCATAATCGATTGACATGGTAGTAGTATTCAGCCAGCAGCCGGCAAAAGTATTAGCATCGCTCTTACGTCGCCCGCGTGGGCCGTAGTGCATGTGCCTCATGCCCACACGTGAAACGGCGCCGCTCATCTAGATATTTCTCACTTTAGTACCATACCGCGTGCCAAGCAGCCCCTGGGCCCAGTTATATAGCTTCCTCCTCCCAAAATTAATAACTCGTCCCAATACCTATATATAAAGGCCTGATCAGTGATCACCACCACCACTCGCTTCCTGCTCCCTCACCCCACTTCCACTTCATCGCCATGAGCTCGTCCTTCCTCGGGCCATTCACCGATTTTGACTACTCATCCGTGCTCGCCGCCGGCGACTTTTTTGCCGGTCACCATCCTGACCAGCCGCCGTCGCCGGCGGAGGTGGTGGTGGCCGTAGGCGGAGGTGATGCCAGTGGGAAGCGGAGTTTCCAGGCCGACGACGACGATGCCATGGGCGTCGTGTCCCGCTTGTCCAAGAGGACGAGGAAGGCGCCGTCGAGTTCGAGCTCGCCGTCTCACAGCGATGGCGGCGGCGGCGGCGGCGGCGAGGGGAACGAGCCGGCGGCGGAGAGGGGAGGTGGCCGGCGGGTGTGGGTGCGGGAGCGGAGCACGGAGTGGTGGGACCGCATGAGGGACCCGGCGGCGTGCCCGGAGGCGGAATTCCGGCGAGCCTTCCGCATGCCGCGCGCGGTGTTCGACAAGCTCTGCGACGACCTGGCCGCCGCCGTCGCCAAGGAGGACACCACGCTCCGCGCCGCCATCCCCGTGCCCCAGCGCGTCGCCGTCTGCCTCTGGCGCCTCGCCACCGGCGACCCGCTCCGCGAGGTGTCCCGCCGCTTCGGCCTCGGCATCTCCACCTGCCACAGCATCATCCTCCAGGTCTGCGCCGCCATCACCGCCGTCCTCACCAGGGTCGTCCGGTGGCCGGACTCCCACGCCGCGGCCGCGTCCAGGTTCCAGGCCTTGTCCGGGATCCCCGGCGTCGTCGGCGCCGTGCACACCGAGCACATCCCCATCGTCGCGCCCAGGGAGAACGCCGGCGAGTACTACGACCGCCGCCTCACCGACCGGAACAACAAGGCCACCTACTCCGTCGCCATGCAGGCCGTCGTGGACGCCGACGGCGCCTTCACCGACGTCTGCATCGGCCACCCCGGCTCGCTCTCCGACGCCGCCGTCCTCACGAAGTCGGCGCTGTACGCCCGGTGCGAGGCCGGGCTGCTGCTCGGCGACGACCCGCAGTGGCTCGTCGGCGGCGCGAGCTACCCGCTGACGAGCTGGATGCTGGTGCCGTACGCGCAGCCGAACCTGACGTGGGCGCAGGAGAGGCTCAACGCGCGGGTGGCCGACGCGCGCGCGGCGGCGGTGGGCGCGTTCCGGCGGCTCAGGGCGCGGTGGCGGTGCCTGCGGCGGCGCGCCGAGGTGAAGCTGCCGGAGCTCCCCAACATGCTGGGCGCCTGCTGCGTGCTGCACAACCTCTGCGAGCGCAGCGGCGGGGAGCTCGACGCCGACCTCCTACACGACGAGCTCGTCGACGACGGAGTGGTCGCCGGCGGCGGCAATACAGTGCGCTCCGCCGCCGCCGAACAGGTTAGAGACAGGATCGCTCACGGTCTCCTCCATGCCGGCAACACTGCTTCGAGTAGCTACCAAGATTACCATTACGGGCGGTTATAGGTGTTGGAATATAAAGTGAATTGTCCATCTTTTCTTATCTGTTTAATCTTTTGGGTTGAACTGATCCGTGTATGCAACTCAATAATAGATAACCGCCGCTAGTAGGTTCACAGCCGATAACCGGTTAAAGCCTAATTGGAGGGAGGTTAATTTCTAGCTATCCTGATTCCATAAGAACATATGAAATTATATATTTATTTATAGTTTAAGGTAAAATTTAGAATTATTTCTGCATGTTACCGGTTACAAATTTAATTATTGGATTTGCATTTTTATCGGAATAAATTCAGTAACCGGTGGTAATTAATCAACTTGTTATTGGATCGGGATATCCTCCGAGTCTAGTAATTATTCTAGATAAACCAGTGTTTCGGAACTCTGGTAGATACTTTGCTTATACTATAAGAATTTGATCAATTTTTATGGTGTACAAAGGTTTTATAGGACAAATGCAAGATTGATTCGATGGATCTCAGTATAATGTATGTCTCATGTGTTTATGATTGTAATTGAAATTTGAATAATTATCAGAACACAAATTTCATCTAAATCTTATATTATGTTTGTATACGGTTCGATCTTATACTAGACATATATATCCTTGAACTCAAATTTCAAAAAGGGCTACGTTCACTACGCCAGATCCTTGCACCTGTGACGGCATATCTGTGACGGGCATAAGTGCTGGTCAGTGATGAGGGTCACCTTTGACGGGTCCTACAGGATGCCGTCATCGGTGAGCCATCAGGAGGTGACCCGTCACAGGTAACTAGTCACCTGTGACGGTTCAAAAATGAAACCCGTCAAAGGTGAGGTAAAATTACATGTGACGGGCCAAAAATATTTAGCCCGTCACAGGTAACTAGTCACCTGTGACGGTCCAAAAACAAAACTCGTCAAAGGTGAGATAAAGTCACCTGTGACGGGTCAAATTTTATGAGCCCGTCAAAGATGATAAAAAAAAAAATCTTTCTCATAACCCTCCCCTCTCATCCCGGCTCATCCTTATCCTCTACTACCGGCTCATCCTTATCCATCTCAACCACTCCCCCCATCTCTCTCTCCCTCTCAACCCTCTCTCTTCATCGACCTGTGTCGGAGGCGGAGACGGCACCGGCGCCGGCGGGTGCGGGGGCCGCGTCGTGGTGACCGACGTCCGCCTCTTCGCCCTCTCCGGCTCTTGGGGCTCGTCTCGGGGAGCAGCGGCGCGGCGCCGTCCATCGTCCATCGGCGGGGACCAGAGGCGGAGGCGGCGGCCTCCTTCGCCCACCTCCGAAGGTCGCCGCCTCCTTCGCCCTCAGCCTCATGGTCGCCGCCGCCGTCTCTCCGCCGCCCCGTCGTCAGCTCCTTCGCCCACCGCCTCCGGGTCGCCGCCTCCTTCCCGCCTGCACCACGCCAGATCCGGGTAGCCTCCTCCTTCCTGCCTCCACCACGCCAGATCCAGGTCGCCGCCTCCTTCGCCCCCCTCCCCGACCGCCGGGCGCCACGGCCGCCGTCCCCCGACTGCTAGGTGTCGGATCTAGCCTCCACGAGGTTGGGGGACACGGATCCGCCCGCCCGCCGCCGCCGGTTGTTCTTGCAGCGGCAGCGGCGAGGAGGGCTCAACGGCGCGCGGCGGTGCAGCGGCTCGACGCAGCGGTGAGGAGGGCTCGACGACGTGCGGCGGCGAGGAGGAGGTGAGTGGCAGCGGCGCCGCATCCATCCCCATCCTCCTCCCCCTTCTCTAATTTCTAGATTCGGTGATTCTTGGAGCGGCAGTGGCACGGATTTTGTGAATGTGTGATGGATTTGTGAATGTGTGTGATGGATTTGTGCATGTGTGTGATGGATTTGTCCCTTACTGTTATGGGTGATGGATATATTGTTGATGAGAAATTTAGGTTATATTTTGGCTAATTTGTGATGGATATATTTTGTGATGCTTCTGTTTACTGCTGCTGAAATATAATTTCTAAATATTGGCTAGCGATTTGCTAGCCAATATTTAGAAATTTTTTTTGTCTGGATGTACCTCATCACTGACGGTTCATATTGAAAAAGCCGTCACAGGTAACCATACCAGTGACGGGTTACAAAATGGCATGGGTTAGCGCAGACACTTACCTCTGACGGGCGGAAGAGTTCTAGCCCGTCAGAGGTGACTGTCATCAGTGACGGTCCTTCACCCGTCAAAGGTGATTGGACTCACCAGTGACCACTGATCACTGACCAAGCCCAAAGCCGTCAAAGGTGAGGGTTTGGGCCCGTCACAGGTGACCTTGTCCAGTGTAGTGGTTTCTTTTCTCAAATGAGAACTATCCGGTACGTTCAACAAATTAAGAAAAGTTTTGCTTGCTAGCACGCACTACTGGAATGTATAACAGTATCATGCTATTGCTCTAATTAAAATTTCTGAAATGATTGAAGATATATATCATTTTGGAGCCCGCCGGGCACCATGATGCCCCAATTAAATTTAGTATTAATTTTCTAACAAGATTAATTAATACTCGATTGGCTTTTTTTATGACCATTTAAATATATTTTTGCGAAGAAACCCTAATAAATCCTTAACATGAGATTGGTTTGGCAATGCATGTCAAATCATCATTTCAACGTGTTCCCTCGCTTATCCTATCTTACTATAAAGTTATCCCCCACTAACTCCTTAAGATTAACATGCAAAGATGCCACATCATTATCCACTAATAAGATGCCACATCATCATCCACTAATTAACAAGATGCCACATCATCATCCACTAACAATCATCACATTTAAACATCATGCAAATATACTATATCTTTATAGTTTTTATAATTTAAGAGCTTTTCAAATTCAAACATGTTAAATTATCATCCAACATAATTCACATAATGTTTCAAATACAAACATGTTAAATTATCATCCAACATAATTCACATAATGTTTCAGTGTATATCTTTATTATGTTTTATGATATCCTATATACTTATATAGTTCATCCTCACTTAGTTAGTGCTTAAATGATTAATCTATGGTCCAAATTATCTCTCCTTTTTTTCTCTAATTAAGTCATATCACATCAATTGTTTTTAGCCATTAGATGATTAATGTACGGTTCAAACTATCTCCCTACTTTTTTTCTTCCATAAAGTCATACCACCTTACTTTTTAAGTTTGAATCACCATTCTACATACTATTTAAATTTAAATTATCATAAACCACATTAATTTACTTAATCTGATGTTATCTAGCTATCTTACACGCTATTTTTTTTATTGTTATCATACTAAATTTCCGCAGTAATGCGCGGGGTTTCACCTAGTTCCATATATATGGATGCTCTCATGTAATCTTAAGGCATCCAATAATAACATCTTAAGAAAAATCATCCATAAATTGAAGCTTTCTCTGATCGTTATGATTTTATCACCGGAAATTACGCCCTTTTTCCACTCGGGGGTGATGCATTAATTAACGGGGTGATATAACAAAAGGGTTCATTTTTTTATTTCATTTTCATGTGCATATGACTTGGCCGCGTGCAAATCTCTGCATGTTAGCCGTGCACCGCAGTAACAGTTGGTGTATAATCTTTATCGTCAAATTAATTACTTTATGATAATATACTACATATAGAATACATTCCGGCATGTCGAGCTGCAAATTTAATATATCCCTAATTTAATATGACTGGCTGATTTATTTTCTAAGAAACATAGTATAAACGTAGATGCTCGTAACACGTGCACACACACCCTGTAAGCACACATGCATATCTTATCCGTATTAGCACCTCTAGAAGACTAAGCCGGCTTATCTTGAAATTGGCGAAGTCACCACAGGTGCCTCGTTATCAATGGGTATGTAGCTTACCAATTAAAAAATAATTAGCCGTAATTGCGAGCACCCGTGCCATGTCTAGGATTTAAAATCGGATTTAAAATATATATGGAAGTCTAACCAGTGGCTAAATTTTGGATAGATTAGGGACGCGCCGGAACGTGCATGAAGATTTTGATTATTCGGATTATGAATAAATTAGCCAAAGAAGAATGTACATGTGTACATAAAACACAAGGTAAAAGCTTTTGCCTTTGCTTAAGAAAATAGTTGTTGGTAATTAGCTTTGCTTTAGATTCGCAAATATTTGTATGTAATCTAAAAAGAGTCTAATTAGATGGTTCAGCTGCCAATAACGGTAGATCTTGAATATACCGAATTTAAACATTTCCAGTGTATTGGTACACAGCCATAAATTAATGCAGATTAATAATAGCATTATAAAGCTAAGGCACAATTTAAGCCACTTGGCAGGTGAAGTGGTCACTATTGTAGAAACCATCTTTATCCGGTCAGGCAAAAACCACAATAATCCCGGTTCCAATAAAAACCGGGACTAAAGATGGGTTTTAGTTCCGGTTTATAAGCAAAACGGGACTATGTGCTCTTTAGTCTAGTCCTGGTTCATATGCTGTCAGGGGCTGCCAGCCCCCCCCCCTCGGATCTTTAGTCCCGGTTGATAACACAAACCGGAACTAAAATTCGATGTATCGTATATAATCCCTAGGACTTATCCTCCCAAACTCCTCATCTCCTATTCTTACTCTCTCTTATCATTTTCTTTGCACTATCCTCTCCTTCCTTCTAGCTACAGATGGAGCTTATCCTTTTCTTGCCTTATCCTCTCCTTGCAGATCGAGCGAGGAGCGAAGAGCGAGGACGGCGGAGGGCCGCGGCGGCCGGCACGCGGAGGGCGGCGCCCGGCGGCGGCCGGCAGGGCCATTGCACGAGGATGGAAGCGGCCGGTGCGGAGGGCCGCCGTGGTGGTCGGCCGTGCGAATTTGTTTTTTCTTTTATCCCTTGTGAATGTTTGTTTATTGAGGATAATTTGTTCATTCGATCTATGATTTTAGAATGATTGTTGTTGTGGATGATTTGAGATTGTTTGTTGAGGATAATTTGTTCATTCGATATGTGATTTGAGAATGACTGTTGTTGTGGATAATTTGAGATGATTATGTTGTTGTGGATTATTTGGGATTATGTTCTTGTGGATGATTTGGGATGTTGGAAAATGATGAAAAAAAACTTAGTCCCGGTTGGTAACACCAACCGGTATCTTTAGTCCCGGTTATTTCAACCGGGACTAAAGATATTTTGTCCCGGATTCTTAGTCCCGGTTTGCAACCCGGGACTAAAGGGGGTTGTAAACCAGGAGTAAAGATGGTTTCTCCACCAGTGGGTAATGTTAGCCAAAAAGACACGAGTCTAATTAAATGGAAATTGTTATGCATCCGATTCAACTATCCAACTCACACACGACTGAATTTGATCAACGGTTGCAAACGACTACAGTGCATATGCACATGATCTCCTTTAATTGATTTATGGTTTCATGTTTTTAGTTGTACAACTGGATAGTATGTATAGCATTACTCAATTAAAATAATTTCAAAGTGAGGCGTGAGTCTCGTGTGCACAAATATGTTTCAAAGAAGGTACAATCTCATAAAAATGGGAACATGTGGATGCTAAAATTATGTGGATGTCAGTGGAAGATGCTACTGTCAGAAGAAATCGGCTGG